AAGCAGCGCGAGGTTGCTAAAGAGAATGAGTTCTATATGCAGCTGTTGCAGCAGGCGCTGCCCGCCGAGGAGGCTACCGATGAGGCACAAATCGCGGGCGCGACAGCGGTAACTGTTGCCTCCAATGGAGCTGTGGTTGTACCCAACGGCACGGGCGGTGCGCCGGCAGCGCTCACCACATCGGCCTCGACCCAGGCGAATGGTGTTTTGGTAACTGCAACGCAAGCACAAAATCATCACGAGCATCATCACAGCGCTGGCAGTGGTGGCGGTGGCGGCGGAAGTGGCAGTGGCAGCGGCTCCGGCAGCAATGCTAGCAATAGCAATCATCATCATCATCACCATCACAATAACAATAATAATAATAACAACAACAACAGTAGCAGCAGCAGCAGCAACAACAATCATCACACCAAGGATAACACAACAAGCGATAGCAGCACAGCGACTGCGTCAACGGCATCGGCAGGAGCCGCTGCTGCTGGAGCCGCAACATCGTCCGCATCTTCGTCAGCGTCCACAAACACATCAGCCTCTGCGACAGCCAGGCAATCAAATTCAGCAGCATTAGCAGCAGCGACAACAACAGGTGCAGAGCATTAACTACTCGTATTAGATTATATTCAGCAAACAACTTTCCCATAAAATGTGCCACTTGCATAGCTTATCTATGTGGCTAGAATTTTGTGTATGTAATCAGTAACTAGCAAAGCCTCGTAGTCTCCTGGCAACCACATGAAATTTGTATATATATATTCATATGAATCACTGTAACCATAAGCGATAGAAATCAATCATGTATATATGTATAAAAATGAAACTAAATATGTAACTGTATTTACAGCAACCGCAAATGGTCATGTTGGCGGTGGGTCACGGAATCATCGGCGTAGCATGGACAAGGACAAGCATCGCAACAAGAGCGATGCAGGCGACAATGAGCACAACAATGGCATGCGGCATGGCGGCAAAAATAGCAGCAGCAACAGTAATAGCAACAGCTATCAGCAAGTAGATGGCAATGCAACTACAACAAGTAATAACAGTAAGGAGAAGTCAGACTGGGATAGTGGCAATAGCAACTATCAACAACAACAACAACAACCGCCGCAACAGCAGCAGCAACAACAGCAACAGGGGGCAAAGGACAAACAGGGTGCATTGAACAAAAAGAAAACGCTTAATTCGAAGCAAATTGATATCGCCCCCTTGCTTGCAGACAAAAAGACGCACAATGCTGTCAGCAATGGCAATGTCCTGCAGTTCGAAACAGATGAGGCACCGGTCGTGGAATCAGTGCCTCAGGTGGAGAAGGCGCCGAAAGGTAAGTGATAAGCATTGGCTTACCCAATCTCTGATGTTGTAATCCAATATTATTTTTGTTCCGCAGGCCGTCGAAATCGTGGTAAGAAGGATAATTCAGCCAAAGACAATCATAGCCAGCAGCTGGCGCAACAAAAGGAAGCAGCAGCAACTGCTGCACCTGCTGCCGCGTCAACTGCTGCCAGCAACAGTAACAGCAACAACAGCAACAACAACAATGATGCCAGCTCCGTTTCGTCGTCGACCAGCTCGTCGTCGAGCAATGCCGCCGCTGCCGCCATCTCGCACATTGCCAGCAAAGTTGTATCGAAGATATGCGAAACATGTATTAAGCTAGAGGCAGATGTTAAGAAATATCGTGCCGAAATTAGCCACATGAAGCAAATCGAGAACGAGCTGCGCCAGAAGCTGGACGTCAATCTGACCAGCAAATCCAGTTTGCAGGCCAAACAGAAGGAGTGCGACGAGCTGGAGAAGCGCATACAGGAGCTGACCAATGCACGCCATGCCGATATGCTCAGTTTGCAGGCTGTGGAACGTCGCCTGAACGAGGAACGTCGCCAAAAGCAATCTCTTGACGCCCAGCTGGCCAATGAGAAAAAGGCACGCAAAGCTGCCGAGGAGAAGGCGGCACGGCCCGAGTGCAGCGCCCAGTGCAAGCAGCGTCGCCAGCAAATGGAGGAAGAGTTAAAGCGCGTGCGCAACGAGCTCAAACAGACCGAGGGAGCCATGCAGGTGGCCGTGGATCATGGCCGCAAATTCGAGCAGGAGGTGAGTGCAACAACAAAAACCTAATTTGTTAATTATAATACCTAAACTCTATTTCCTTTAACAGTATCACATGCTGGAACTGAAGGTGCAAAATCGCGAATCCACGCAGGCGGATGCTGAGATGCTAATGAATGCACTGGCTACAATGCAGGAGAAGAACACAACGCTGGAGAAGAATCTATCCGCAGAGACGAGAGTTAAGCTGGACTTGTTCTCGGCTCTGGGCGTGGCAAAGCGACGGCTAGAAATAGCTGACAGTATGTATAGCCAGGGGAATGACAGAGGAGTGCAAATATATAATGAACAAACTGTTTTGGCTTGCAGGTCAACGCCGGTCCAAGGAGGATGAGGTCATTGATCTCAAGGCCAAGATAGCCCAGCTGCTGGCTGTAATGCCGGACACGCTGTGCCTGAATACGGGGCCGCATGGTAGCGGAAGCATGCTGCGCATGAACGATACACCTCCGCTACAATCGGGCGGACCGGGCCCGTCCTCGCCCATGCTTAGCCTGGGCGTCGCGCAAGATTATCAACAGCACCAGCATCAGCAACATCAACAGCACCAGCAGCATCAACAGCTACAGCAGCAGCACCAACAACACCAGCAACAGCAGCATCAACAGCACCAGCAGCACCAACAGCAGCAGCAGCATCAACTCCAGCAACAGCAACAGGTTGTGCCCGTCTCACAGCAGCAACAGCAAATGGTGCCCGTCAGTGTGGCTGCAGCGCTGCATGTGGTGGCCGGCAATGTGGTCAACGGTGGTGGCGGCGGCGGCGGCCTATCGACGCTGGATCCAAATGCCAGCGTCTATACGCCCAAGACCGGCAACATGATGGTGGTGCCGCCGGTGAATATGAATCCCAATGGTGCGGATGCCTGACGCCAGCAGCATCAACAGCACCAGCAGCACTCATCGGCGTTATCGTCGGTGAGTGCATCATCCTCGCATCAGCTACTGAGACGACAAGTATGAGATTATTATAATTTATATGAAACGTAACAGCAAACAGCATCAGCATCAACATCAGTATCTGCATCAGCATCCGCATCCGCATCAGCAACGGCAACCGATAGATTTGGACTAGAGTAGTCGATAGATGGCAAACGGCAGGTGGCAAATGGAGCGTAGTTTGCATATGATATAATGAATGTCCGTACTCTAAGCATAAGCAGTTTCCTTTAACGAACCACCCACACAACTACAACAGTATCACATCTCAATGTACACCCCATTATCAATTATCAACTATTAATTTCCATAACTCAGAATTGTAGCCAAGATACATTTCGCAAAAGCAGTTAGTTGATTGTTTCCCAATTCCACACAGTATGAATATGCCCCAATTATATATATGATTTTATTTTTTGACCTATCTCAAAATGACCTCAGATGTCATAGAACTTAATTAAATTAGAATCCAAATATTTTTGGGATATATTTAAAACGAAATGAAATGGAAATTGTATTCCTAATGTTCGCATCCAGTTCGAGTTAATTAAATCCACCCAAACTTCGCTTCTCGAAATACATTAACACGACACTCATTCATTCATTCACACTCATTCATTCATTTACACTCATTTGGCAGACTCGTTGCGCGAGTTCTTGATTGATTTAAACACATTTAAAATATAAGATGAGTAAACGCGAAAGATGAAAAACACTAAAAATGAAAATATTAATTTGTAATTGAAAATGCGAACGAATAGATAGAAATGAAGAAAAGAAAGATCTGTTTACTACTTACTTTACGAAACGCTGTGAGAGTTGACCAACTTTTAGTGATGGCTTTTGGAATTTGGCGTGATTTATGCTTTTTAGCCAAATTGTCTGCCCTCTTTCAATGGAATTTTTGAAGTCTGCGCCCTTGATTTATTATCTCATTAAATTATTTTTGTTATAAACTTTAATTGTACGCCTATTATGTAGAATTTAACTATTTTGAAAAACAAAACAAACAAAATACCAACAAATTTCTTTTTAAGTTTTAATTTATTTGTTGCTCTTCCTAAAAGAAAAAGAAAAAAACAAAACAAAAACAAACAAATAAAAAAGCAAGTTGAAAATGCTTGAATTTAAATGCGAAGAAAACGAAAAACGAGAACTATTTTGTTTAATAATAATAATAAAAAACAAACAGAAAAAGAAAACATTTAATGCTTGACGCTAGTAAATATTTGTTTTTAATTTATGTTAGCTTTTTAGTTGATTTATAATTTCTCTATTTATTTGTAAGAAGTTCCCTCAATATAAATGTATATATTTCAATGAACTGAGTAACCCGCCGTGGATTAGCCTCAAATCAGTGTCAAACCAAAACAACTCAAGTCTAACGTCAGGCTATGAATCCAGTTTCCATATTCAAAATGATATACTATATGCTGCAGACGGTTTCCACGGCCATTTTTGCCACATTTTCCACGCTATGGCTGATCGAAGGTAAGTGGGGCTTTGACCCAGCCCACTCGACGCCAGGCTGTTGCCAATTTGATAGTCCACTCCGCAGAGAGTCTGATCAACCTGATGATGTCCACGTTTCTGTTGGTGCTGCGCGTTGCCTGCCATCCGCTGATGGTGCTGCCCACAATCTTTGGAGTCTACTATCTGATACGCAAGGTGTGGCTGCGACGTCGCCAGCTGGGCGATGGTGAGGCAATCCAATCCACGGGGCGGCGTCCCAGCTATCGCTCGCCACGAATCGGATCTTATCGCAGCATGGGCAGCACATCATCGCGCAGCAATGATAGCTGTGATTACGAGGACGACGAGATTCGTGGCTTGCAGAGATCGTAGTTTTATATTGGCCTTACTTTTTGTTTGTTTTAATTGTAAATTAATGAAGTGAAATCTTTGGTTTGATGTACTAGATTTACTCTTACAAATGCAGACACAAACTACACTTACGCGAACGAACATATTTTTATATGTATGTGTATAAAATTGTACTTAAAACTAATACAGAGGCCTCTCCGCCTCGCTGAGTCCCGCCCCGATTCGCCGATGTTTTCATGGTTTCTGTAGGGATGACGTATCCATTTTACACAATAGATCCGCCACCTTCAGCAGCATTGCATTGTTCTGCTGGTCGGAGGCCGCCGAGCTGCTGCTGATCATTTCGGCCAGGTGATGTATGTACTTATCCACGCTCTCTACGTTGAGTCCGCCAGGATGCACGGCTGGCAGCGTAACGCCACTCAGCGTCGCGACGAGTTTCTGCCGCAGGTTCTTTGTATATGTTGCGAGACGGGCATTCTCCTCCTTCAGCTCGGACACTTCGGCCATGATTTTCGCATGGCCGGCCTTTGTGTTATCCACATGCTGTTCCAGCACTGCATTCTGCTGCTCCAGATCTGTTTTGGTCTTGCGCAGAGTGCGCAGCTCATTCTCTGTGCTGCGATTGTGCTCGATAAACTCGTTTGTGTAGATGGGTATTTCGCCTGCTATGCACGGACGTTGGGCCGCAGGGGCGCAGGAGTTGAGTGCGGGCGGTGTCGGTGTACGCTTCACTTGAGCTAGCGGTATATCATCCGGGTCTGGTGTTGGTGTACTCAGCTGCTGTTGCTGTTGCTTGTTCACCCCTCCAGTGTGCTTAACAATAGTTTTCTTTGCGCCAGCAGTAGCGGTGACTGTGGCGCTGCTATTGGCTGCGTCAATGCCGCTGCTGCTGTTGTTGTTGTTGTTGTTATTGGTTGCCTTTTCCTTGGGTGTGCTGGCATTTTTGTTATCGAATACCTTCTTCGCTTTGGCCAATTCGGTTGCCACTATTTCGGGATGCTCCTTCAGGAACTTGTGCATTTGTTCCTGATATCTGAAATTTTGAAAACATTGTATGAGTGATGGATGATATACAACATATTGTGTGAGAATGTGTATGTGTTCAAATAACTTCTCGTATTTTATTTACAATGCCTTATCCTTGGCTGCAGCCTCCAGATACGGTGCCTTTCGTTCATCCGTCAGCTGGTGCCACTCCTCGCCAATCATTTTCGTATGCTCCAAGGCGGTGCGATTGGGATGCTCGCGACGCAGCTGTTCCCTACGATCATTCATGAATCTCACATACGAGTTCAGTGGCATTTTCGGTGCTCCAGCCACATTGATGCGTCGCTGGGTGAGCTTCTTCAGCTCCGTGTCCAGATCGTTGCCAGTCCCCGCATTTCGTGCTTTTCCTTTCTTCTTTTTTGTTACTTTGCCGGCGCCGACGACGCCGCCGCCTCCAGTTGAGATATTCAAATGGCTTTCCTCTTCCGCATTTACTGATTTGGCAGGCATAGCTACTGCTTGCTCCTCCACTGCTGCACCTACGTTCTCTGCCGCCTCCTGGTTTACTGCACTTTTGTTTTCTTGTTTGCTATCCATAATTGATCAATTTGCACTTATTTTTTATTCTTGTTTATGTCTTATCGATAGTTCTCCAATTGCAACTTTGCGCTTTGTTTACTTATGAGGATTTTGTTTTGTGCAAGTGCTCTTCTGTAAATATTTACTATTTTTTTTTTTTTTTTTTTGACAAAAATAAAAACAAATTGCAATAAACTGAGAGATCAATTTCTGCTCTCTTAGAATATCGCATATTTTGTTGTTATACAAATAAGTGTTATACAAGAACAGCTGTTGCCACAAAGACAGGGATGTACAGCTTTAAATAATTGTTGTATACAATAACTATATACTATTTCTTTATGTGGTATAGTATATTATATAATTTTAATTTTGAATTGGCGTTGTAAATTCTTATGCATTTAAATACTTAGCACTATCATTTACTTGACATTTCGGATCATTGCGCGCACTGGCAACACTGTGCTGACGCACTTCTACATTTACGCCGTGACGTCATCAAAATGTGGCGCGATTTTGATTATCGGCTTATGAAATATCTGCGTACTTTGTACAATAAAAACAATATACATATATATATATATAACCGGCAGATAATACTATATAGTTTAACAATATATGGGTCAATAAATCATACATATATATGCATATACATATGTATATATAAATCCTATTCGCAGATAATTGAAAATAAAAATTCGATATTTTCCGTTGTGGTTTTTTCTATATTTTGAATATTCATATACACTTGTGGTCTGCATTGTCTTGGATAATTGTTTGAGCACGATACAATTACAAAATATATAATTAGCCTACTTGAATAACAGGTGTTAAATATAAATAGAAACTTACAAACAAGCTTAGCATTTTATCAATATCGATGATAAATTCTGTACAATTTAAGCAGCTGCAACTGCGAACTTATACTATATATATTAAAATTTATATATAAGTATGTATATGTGTAGATTACGAGCTAAAACACTTAATAATGAAGGCGGCCAGCCACATATAAAATTAAACATAAATTAACAATGTTAAGAGAGATATAGATAAAAAGAGAATTGGCTGATCCAATGCGATTTTCAATTTGAAAAATGAACAATAAAGCCTCTCATGTGAGTTGAAGTTAAATTAAACTGGGAAATAGTTCATCGAAATTGCTTTCCCAGGGAAATTCCTCATCCTCGGTGTGCATCGGAATGTCACTATCCAAATGCGACAGAGTCGTCGACGCTGGGGAGCCAATCACCGACTCATAGCCATGATCCGATGTGGCCGAATGCATAGAGAGTGCAGGTGATTTGGCTAGCGGTGAGATGGCTTTGACCCGCGGACACAGGAACTGCTCAATGGGCTCGAAATTTAGATGGCTGGTCGCTTCATCGTCCGAATCATCGGTGGCGTTGATCACATTGAGGTAGACCTGTGAGGGCGACGTTGCTGGCAACGGGCACTTCATGATCGCATCTGTCGTGTTCTCATCGCCAGCAGTGACGCCCTCACCGTAGATCACCTCAACGGCCTCATTCACTGGCACTGCATCGCCGTCCATGACAATGGTGATGGAATTCGTCTTAGCATCGTATGTGCCGTATACCGTATCCGGTGTGGCACTCTGCAGGAATGCAGCTGCTGAAATTGTCTTCGTTGTTGTTGTGGGTGTTGGTGTTGCTGTGGGTGCTGTTGTTGCTGTTGCCCTCTTTTGTATGTTTCCATTTATCGTTGACACCTGCATAGGCAATCTGCTGTTGTTGTTGTCCATGTTGTGGGTGCTCGAAACGGGTTGCGCTTTGGTATGTTCATTTAGGCCATCAGCTCTATGCCCGCCGGATTCCATGCACTCTGCTGCGGTCCCCACCACTGATCCAGGCAATCGCTCTGAGTCGCCTGCATCTTTGGCAGCAGCTTGGTGGCATGTGCCACCGCCTGCTTCCAGGTCTGCTGTGATATCTGCGAGGAGACTCTCGGCCAGCTCTTCAAGTCGTCGCGCATCGAACTCTTCGTCGTCGACGAGCAGCATGTCTTGTATAGAAGGCAGAGCGCCACAATTCTCCAAAGTGAGGCCGTTGTGTTGCTCTGCTTCAGCTGCTGTTGCAACATTCGTGATGTCATCAAGGCACGCGCTGACGACTGTGTGTCCACTTGTGTACCCTGCTGCAGAGGGTCAGCATTGGATGCTGCAGATCCAGTGAGTGTGGGCACACAGCCCTCAGCGCTTGCATTGATGCCAGCTATGTTGCTGTGGCTGCTGTTGTTTTTATAATTTTTGGCATGCTGTCTCATTTCGGCTAGTTCTTGACGCATCTCTTCCATTTCCGCGTCGAGCTTCTGATTCTTGGCCATCAGCGATTCGTTGATACTCTGTAGGCTCTCGCATTTGTTTTGCAATATTTCCGTTTTTTCAGTGAGTTCCTTGATTTCGAATTCCATTTCCTCCATGCGTGCCTTCTTCCTATCGCGACTGGTTTGAGCAGCTACGCGATTCTTTAGTTTCCTATTAGGTAAATGGCGATTGAGTGAAGGTTGTTTTTATTTATATTTCTGTTTAACTTACTTTCTCTGCACCTTCTCCTCCCAAGACAAATGATCTAGACGGCGCTTCTTGGCCTTTGTCGGTCCCGACGGACTTGAAGCCATCGATGCGGGCTCCTCGTCCGCAACACTGTTCGATGAGGATGAATAGCCCGAACTGGATGGCGACGACCCGCCCTTGAGCAGCACCGCAGTGGCTGACAAGGGAGCTGGTCGCAGCTTGGGCAATGTGTTTAAACTCAAATTAGAGCCAAGTGGCACACATTTGGATAGGAGCACTCCGTTAACTGGTGCCATAGTGTATTTCTATTTTTATTGTTGTTGTGGTTGCAATTAATAATTGATAGCAATGCAATATAAATTGCAAATTAAATTTTCATTTTTAATTGTAGCTCTAGATTGGGCGTGATATCTGTGCGAGCACTGAATTTTATCTGATTTGATACACCCGGAATTAATTCATTGGTAGCGTTGCTTTTACTTTTGCTGCTTCAGCTGCGCTTTTCGAATAAGTCGTCAGTTTGGATTTCTTCATTGCCCAGGTTTACTCAGCCCAATCTCACGTAATTTTCCTCAATCTGCTTGCAATTCTGCGCACCCAAAACGTTTCGCAAAGATGTCGTGGACTTTTCTGAATGGGTTGTCGAAAATAGCTGACGTGGCTATTTCTCGTTGGTTCGATGAAAGAAAACGAGTTGAAAGAAGCAGAGATTGTCAAACAAAATGTTATTTAACATAAGTGCGTTAGCATTGGCATGTTATGTTATTAACAGTAGCTCTGCTCAAAAATGCGCACAAATAACTTTTAAACGTAATTATGTTTATCTATTTATTTTTTTATTACTTCATGCTTTATAATATATCACATTAACAAACACCAATTTACATTGAAAGCAAATTTCTCATTTATACGTTTAGCATATATATATTATATAAATTATAAACATGAATTTGGATTTTAAACATATGCAATTTGAAAGACATATAATTTTTATCTAAGACTGAATGTCACATCTTTTTTATACCTTCATATACTAGAGTCCAAACATTTGAGGCATCGGTGAACGTTCCTTTTTCTTTTCTTTCTCATTGGCAGCGAGCTCCTCCCTTATTACATCGGCAACATCGTATATTGTGGTTTTGTGCTTGAAAAATAATAATATTATGTCTTACACTTTATTGATATAGACTTACTTACCTTTAACTGATTTATATAGAATAGGTATGGTATATTCCCTGTGATCGGATCTATTGCCACTGGCCACATATTGGCCAATTCTTCTTTTGAGAATTTCTCGGCTTCCTCCTCCATTAATTTTCCAAAATATTCTTTTGTAAGAAAGCGTTTATTTTCAGGATCCAAGGTTTCAAATGCTTTTAACAGTTTCTCAGGGCTCGCGGGCTCCATTCTGTAAAATATGTATTTGTAATCAACCATATTCATTAAATTTATTTAAATTCAACCAAATTTTTACTTTCTTTGCATAAGTAGTACGGAAACATGAGCCATGAATTTTGGTAAGTGCGTTTCACCTGGATTTTCCACGGATTCAGTTGCTGCAATAATCTCGTTTATCTCCTTTTCTGAAGGAACACAGCCCAAAAATCGCAACACATTTCCCACATTTCGTGTGTCGATGTATTTATCGCCGTGATGATCAAATATGCAGAATGCTTCTGATATACGAACTTCCAGTTCATTTGCAAGTGGGACTGGCAATGGCTGTTAATTATCTGGCGGGCACAATAAACAGAACTTGCAACTTACTGCCGACTTCCATATTATACGGTTAATTTGTGAATAATAAAATAATTTCTTTGATTATACTGTTAATTTTGCATTAAAAAATAAATGTAAAAGTTTGCTAAGAAGATTATTGCACTCCTACGCTTATTCCAATTAAAATAATAATGAAATATATATTTAACATTTCTTTCATGCTTACTTTGTTTTCCGTTACATATTTTGAAAAAAAAGACTAATCGTAATGCCTGATAGCAGACTATTTTCAGATACTGTAAAAGACTAATTCTGTGTGAATGGCCACAAATAAGTGCAAATGTATCGATACATTGAATAACCCAGCTGCATTCGTTTGAGAATATGTCTTAAATTACTGATGCCGCCGTGGTCGTTTCAAATGTACAAGCACATATTTTTTAATGTAAAATAAATGGGTGAAAACATACTGTACGTATCAATTCCATTATTTTAGAATATTTCTATTCAGTGTGAACTTATTTGATTTCACTGAAGCTATTAATTTGGGGATTTTATCTGTGTTAGTGCGAGAGCGTTAGCTGAGCAACAGGTATACGCGCAACGAGTATCGATAGTACTTGAAGCAGAATATCGTTTAGTTGTAATTGAGATTTCATTTGATTCGGTTGGGCCGCGCGTGTGCTTAATCTTGACAGATTTCCAGCGGGAAAAAATAAATCGTAGTGTGATCCAAAATACACATTGCCCTTTTGAATTTGTTAAAAAGTTGTGTACAAAGAATGTGCGAATTGGATAAAGTCAAAGCAAGTCACGACTAGTTTTTACCAAAAGCAACTATCTTCGGCGCAGGTGCAACGCGTTTCTTTAGCGTGTGAGTTTTTTTTTTTTAAAGGTACCAAAGCAATAACAAGTTCAAGCATATCCATAATATCGTCTTACAAAAATTTGTAAGTGTGTGCGAGTGTCTGTGTGTCTGATGCTGTTGTAGTGTGCGTGTTGCGCAGTTTTGAAAACGCGTTTGCGGTTTTTCTCGCTCCGAAATGGAAAGTGCCAGCCGCTTGGCTGCTCCTGCGTTTGTTGTGATACACCCGATCACATTATTGATCGATTGTCGATCAATCTAAACATAAATCGAATCACAAACAAAGAGGTGCGAAAAATGAAAGTGTTTGTTATTATTGTTGCTGTATCGCTATAAATAATGGAAATTGTTTACCTTACGGCCAACTTTGCCACATTCCAGAGCTGGGAGCCGTGTATCATAGAAAGTAGATTAGATATGTGATCGAAAAACTGGTATTACGCTACTTTTACCTTGAACTTGAAGTTTTACCCACACACACATACAGACACGCACACCTGTAAGCATAATTGCGGAAAATTTCAAATGCGCACAATTAGCAAAAAGCAAAGCAAGAAGAAATTGTGCAAAAGTTTTTGACATGTCAACATGAAAACACCTAACGTGATTTAAACAAAGAAAAAGTAAAAGACAATTATAATTAAAAAGAGCCAAAGTTAATGGTGAAATTTAGCCGTGAAGTGAAATTATTGCCGCTTAAGAGTAGCTGCAACTGCAACTGGCACCCTCTTCACCCTTCATCTGTCTTTCTCTTTCTATCTCGCTGTGGTCGCTACGTGCGCTTTTCGCCTTTTCGTGGTTGTTGTTGTTTATAGAGTATTTTTATTTTGTCGACAGGTGGCGGTGCAACGTGCAACACCAGCGATCCACATAGAGAGCGTGCCGACTCTTGACCGCAGGCTATGCCACAACGCTGCGCGTCTCGCGGCTTAAACGACTCGTTTTCCCAGTGCATTGTTGACGCTTAGCCCATCCTGCGCGTCTGCGTCCCGTGGCAAGTGCAGATGCCAACCATGCACACACAAACACACTGAAGTATGTATGTATATGTATGTGTGTGTATGCTTATGCGGGGGTTACCTTTGCCTTTGCTCCGCTTGTTGTTGCTGTTGTTGTTTGTGGCATCAAGTCTGACTGGTCGATCTGGTGGCATGGTCTCAAAACTTGTTTCTCCATCTCTCTTGTTATTGTTGTTGTTGTTGTTTTGTTCTCTTTGTTTTTGTTGCTGCTGCTGCTGCTGCTGGCATTCTTAGCTGGTGATTGTTGCCGCAGCTCCCTATATAGAGGACCACCTTAACATGTGTGTGTGTGTGTGTGTGTGTGTGTATATGTATGTATGTATGTGTGCCTGTGTTCTTGTTTTTGTTTTCTTACTTTTTATTATTGGAGTAAATTTTTCGCTTGAGGGATTTAATGTTATTGCCGTGCTTCTTGCCCCTTTTTTCGCACAGTTAATTTTCTTTTTACTCATGCCCGCATCCGAGCTCATAATATTTTTTATTTTTTCATTTCTTATGATGAGTCAACGTTTTTTTTAGGAAAATAAATTTGAATTTGTTTGTATGCAAATGATATTTATGGTTAATATTATATAAACTTAAATTTAAATAAACGTGAGCTTAGGGAAGTTTAATTTCTAATATAAAACAATTAAACAAGAAAAAATCAACTATAAAAATGATTATTAAAGAAATAAGATTTATATAGCTACTAAATTTGAAACATGAATAGGTAGTTTCTAAAGTTTTTAATTGTTGTATAGGAAGTTTAAATTATATTTGAATCGTTTCCGCTTACATCGTAAATTCTTTATATACATAACTTATATTCTATTTCGAAATTCATTTGTTAATAGAGGGTGCATCTGGTTAATCAATTATTCCTCTTAAGAATCTATCAATACAAAATATTTGTTGGTTAATTAAAATCTTATAAAATGGATATTCTGCTCGCATAACAGACTCTCGAAGTGTTTATGGTATCGTTTTGTCCCTTTCTCTCTCTTTCTCCCTTTCCCACCTACATTCAGTCTGACTTATCTCATTTCTCTTCAGTTTTAGGCAACGTTTGCTCAATGCACGTTAGATAATGCGCGGATGATGTCAAATGTGCTCGATGAATAACTAAAGTCCAATGACATTGTGAACACGCGATAATAATTAGCAAAAAAATCTAGAGAAAACACTTCATAAATTAAACACGAATCAAATAAATATAAAATTATTAAACGCGCAATGGCAAACCGATAGTCGAGGCTGAGAGGGGCAAACAAGTTTACTAACGACGACAGCAACGTGAGAAGAAGAAGAAGAAGAAGAAGATGCCAATAATAACAGCGACTACAACAACGACGTCGACGGCAGCAGCAGCGGTAGCAGCGGGTGGCGGCGGCGCGGGATCCGCAGGCGCAGCGTCTAAATCTGCTGCTCTGTTGGCTAAGGCAATGCCAGTTGGTTCAGCAGCGAGCGATTACCTAATGCAGCAACACCAACAACAACAGCAGCAACAACAGCAGCCACAGCAGCAGCAGCAGTTCAACAGCCATTATTATCAACAGCAGCAACAGTTGGCGCCGGCGTCGCTTGTGCTAAATGCTTCCCACCAGCATTCACATCCACATTCGCATCCACATCCTGTTGTCAGCTCAGCAGCAGCAGCATCGGCGACAACGGTAGCAACAGCTGGTGCTGCTGGAGCAATTGCGAGCAGCGTTGCAGCAACCAGTTTTGCAACATTTAACGGAAACTCAAGTCTAAATTCTAACCTTGCCAACGGAAGTAGTAGCCGGCCGAACCATGTCAAGAAATTCAATTGCAACGATTCCAGCGGCGCGGATCTGGCTGCTGTTGGCAACGGTGACAGCAACAGTTATGCAATGGCTGGCATGCACAAGCCAGCCACAGCAGGCGCAACAACAACTTCAGCAGCAGCAGCAGCAGCAGCTTCAACTGCCACCGGTACAGCCATTGCTGGTCCACCACTGGGCCTGCCGCCTCCTGCTATTAAGAAGTCTACGTCCGCATCGCTGCACGCTTCGCGGGAAGATGTTGCCTCGCTGGGCGGCACCTCCTCGCTGAACAGCCAGGTCTCTGGCCACCATCAGTCGCAGTTCCACGGCAACGGGACAGTCAATGGCAATGCAACGAGCGCACGCCCAGGCGGACATCCCAGCAGCATCCTGAAAGGCAGCAAAGGTAAGTGAAAATGAAAAGAGTTTGGCTGAGCGCATTTGGGGCTAACTGCCATCTGATAGCAGAGTTTTTTAATTTAGAGAAAGCCAATTACTTGTTAGATGAATCTACTAAGCTCAATTAACTTGTTTATGATAGAGAACACATTTCAATTGGAACTATTTGGACTTGGATTCAATTAAATTGTTTATGATTGTGATCTAATTTTAATTAGAAGCATTTCGACTTTTTAACTAAAGAATTTAAGGAATTTAAAGGCATTTAAGAGAATTTAGGATTGCATTTTGCACTTTTCTGTACTATCTGACCAATAAATTGGTTTGATCCAGCTAATTCTGATATATATAAATATATAGTATTACTTGTCATAGAAATACAGAACAGAGGCAATGTTGCATAATGAAAGTTGAGAGATAAATTGGCATGGAAATAGACAAAGACCGAGTCGGCTCTTCAAATTGATTAATCTGCATGTACATACATACATATATAAATACTGTTCATGGTATATTTATATATAATTGATGGCATTGCAAACGTTCTCTCTTTAGACAACGCGTGACAAATTATCCACTACAACGTTCAATACGAAAATAAAAACCCAACTAGGAGATACCCTCTCTTTCATATATAATGACTTTACTTTTACTTTAACTCTAGCGAGTCATTTCCTTAACGTCTGAAGGCCCTATTCAAGGCAAAAGTTGGTCAAAGTGAATTGCATTTTTGACCACTTGCATAGAGCAAATGCTCTACTTTGAAATAAAAAAAAAAAAAAAAAAAAAAATTAGCTACCAAAATGAATGTATGACCTTTAGGATAGGTTAAGGAAAAGTATATAAATACCAAATTTGGTAACTCTAAGAAATACTCAAATAAGTGAAGTTTTATAAAGTTATTAAACAATTTCTAGGTTTAGCTCTTATAGCTTTGAAGCTCGTATATCTCAGATAATATTTATTGGATGGCTTGAATTCTTGTGAACATACATTTCCCTCTTATTAATAGTTTGGTAAATAAATTTTCCCCTTTCAAAAAAAAAAAAAAAAAAAAAAAAAAAAAAAAAAAAAAAAAAAAAAAAAAAAAAATAATAATAATAATAATAATAATAAATAAATAATATAAAATAAAATAAAATAAAATAAAATAAAATAAAATAAAATAAAATAAAATAAAAT